ACATGCTCCCTCAGTCTTTTCAAGTGCACACAATCACCTTGCACATATTAGTTAAAAGTCTACAGTCTCAAGTCGAGGGTCAACAGAAAAGAAGAAGACCCTCAATGAGATGGACTGGCACAGTGGTTACAACAATGAACTCCTACATAACAATGAGTGTGAGGATAGCACAGGACCGGACAGTGTTTCGTTCTGTTGTTCATAGAATTGCTATGTGTTGGAGATCACTCTACGGCAACTAATAATACAGTTTCATATTACCTGACTCAGCTAGGCCGTGGATTCACACAACGTGCAGGCATTAGTCACTACCAGTCCCTTAACCAAATTTCTTATTCTGTTTTCCACCACCTTGGGCTAAAAGTATTAGTTATTTGTCTTAGCACTCTTGAGTCATATGCATAAACTCATATATCTAAAACATTTGTGTATCATTTTAGAAAGCACTTCCAAATGATCATGTCATTTGATCTTCATAACTACCCTCTGAGGTTGGCATATTTATTATGGTCATTTTACAGATGAGGAGACTGAAGCCCAGCCAACAAGCAACTTGTTCATGGTCCTACTATTATTAAGATGAAGTTAGGACCAATACCCAAAAATTTAACTGTAATTGTAAATTAACCAAGCTTCTTGATTGCTATGGATTTTGTGCCTGAATTACATTGAAGTAAACTTTCCCTCTGCTGGACCATTCTGAACACAAAACAGGAGCCTCTTGACTTCCCTTTCCTCTCTCCCTCAGTTCCTCTAAAACTTTCAAACTCCTTCTCCTCTCAGGTCAATACAGGTGGCAGAGAAAAAAAAGTCTGCTCTGAGTCTTACTATATATCCTGGGGCACATATTAGAAAACAAACATATGCACCGTGAAATAAAAGGATATCTAAAACCCAGTTACATTTTCATTATTAAAGCCACCTAATCTACATAAGATTTGAGAGAGTATATCTACATCAGATTTTGCCATAAATTGTGAAATTTTCATATGGAAAGGATCATTTGTATTTAAGAAGAAAATGTGAAGAGCTGAGGAAAACTGAGAAGGAAACAGCAGCTGTTGCCTTGCTTTGATTTACACACTTATTTCTAAAGATTGTATTGTGTTTTTGCTGAATATTTACACAGCAAATTAGGTTCCCAATTAATAATTTCTATTCTGCTAACCAGAAGGCTGGCAGTTCAAACCCACCAGCCACTCCTTGGAAGGAAGGTTGGGCAATCTACTTCTGTAGTGATACCACCTCGGAAACCCAAGAAGGGGTCACTATGAGTCGGATCCGACTCCACGGCAGTGAGTTTGGTTTGGTTGTTTGGTATTTATATTACTCAGTGGCATTGGTTACATTTTCCACATTGTGTCAACATTCTCATTATTTCTGTTCTGGTTGTTCCACTTCCATTAATCTAGCTCCCCTGCCCTCTCTGACCTTCATTGATTTTGCTTTAGGGTTGTTGTTGGGTTTTCGAGGCAGTGTCACCACGGAAGTAGGATTGCCCAACCTTCCTTCCGAGGAGTGGCTGATGGGTTTGAACTGCCAGCCTTCTGGTTAGCAGTCAAGTGCCTTAGGCACTATGCTACCAGAGCTCCTAAGGCAAATGTTGACTATTTGGTCTCATGCAGATGTTTTTTTTTAAAAAAAGGAGCACAGTACTCACAGGTGATATTGCTTATTTTTTGAGCCAATCTGTTATTTAGCTGAAAGGTGACCTCAGGTTCAGTTCAAAGTTAATAGAGTATCTCAGTCCCTTGGTTTTTAATGTCATGTATTTGAAAAGCTGATACTTACTATCTGAAGAAGGGAAGCAGCCCAAAGTGGGCCAGGAAAACCTTACTGTTGTGTTGCTGCTGCTGTTGTTAATTGCCTTCTCTAAAAAGAAAGTCCAACTCAGCCACTGAACTAACAAAAGCTGCTAGCCCTGAACTTTTAGGGGCTCTGGTCACTGCCCACAAGGAGCCCTGGTGGTGCAGTGGTTAAGACATTTGGCTGCTAACCAGAAGGTTGGTGGTTTGAACCCAGCAGTTGTTCCATGGAAGAAAGATGAGGCAGTCTGCTTCTGTAAGGATTTATAGTCTTTGAGACCCTATAGGGGCTTCTATGAGTCAGAATCGACTAGATGGCAATGAGTTTGGTTTTGGGTTTGGTAACCACCCTCAGACCAGGCTAGCTTCTGTTTACTGTATTCACCTAGAGTAGTTGCTGATTCATTCCCCCACAGGCAGGTGATACCAGGGAAAGACAAAGAAAAACTCTTATTTTACACTTTCCTTGAGACAATAGAAAGAATGACACATACCTTAACCAAAGAGACTCAGAAATGAGCTTCCCTCCATTCGTGAAATTGGCCTCACATTGGCACCATAAAGCCTTCTGGGGTGCTTGTCCATACCCCTTTAAACAAAGGATGACTGGCAATGCATCCTTCCAGCCTCCTGACTTTGGCCATCATAAGAAGCAAAAGAGAGAAAAGAAAGAGGGTGTTAAAAGGAGATTCAAACAGCACTCAAAGGAATGTAGGTTAACATGTAACTGACCTATCAAGTAGGGCCATTTAACATTTAGATTTTCCTCAATTGATTTATTTTACCAAGAGGCAATCTCATGCATAAACTGCAACATATGGCTGTACTTGCTTGATACCCATCATTGACAAGACATGATGAAAATTCTATTCGAAAGCAATCCCAAAATAGTATCTGGAAATGTTATTTTATATAATTTCTTATCAGAGAAAAGAGAATTATTTTTATTATTAATTTTTTTAAAAATTATTTGAGACCACTCCATGTTCATTCCTTTTGAGTGATAATAATAACATCTATTTTTCATTCTTTCATCTATCAACCTCAGATATTTTCATATCTCTATTACTACAATCATACTTTAATTTTGAGTCTTGTTCACTCCCTTCCCCCAGGTTCACTTACTCTCTTCCCTGCACATGGCCAGAGTTGAATGGAGGACTTCATTGGGTAACTCTAGTTATTGTGGTGGTTGTGAACATTTATGCCTGCAAACAAGATGAATTTTTATTTACTTGCTTATTTTAATTTTAAAAAATATCTGGTGGCATAGTGCCTAAGGCATTTGACTGCTAACCAGAAGGCTGGCAGTTCAAACCCACCAGCCACTCCTCGGAAGGAACACTGGACAATCTACTTCCATAGGGGTACTGCTGCAGAAACCCAAGGAGGGGTCGCTATGAGTTGGAGACTTCACAGCAGTGAGTTTTTTTTATTTTTTCCTGGGAAGGTAATAATAATAATAATAATAAATCTTCATAAACATGTATATTGCCTTTCATTCCTCAGAACATGTCATGAGTTCATTGTAAAGGACACGCTCTTGGAGATTTACAACTGCACTGTATTTTTTTATTAATTTTTATTATTTTTTTTTGTTACGCATGTTCTGGATTTGTGGTGTGGTAGAAAGCTCTATATGGCCCCCTTGTGGTTCCTGTTAGCATCTGCCTTTTGCATCCCCAATTTCTTCTATTCAGTCCCAAGAAAATGCTGATAAAACAATGTTCCTAAACTACGACTCTGATATGACTCTCCAGCTCATACCTTCACTGGATCCCTAGAACCTACAGAACAAAATCCAAACTCCTTAGCATGGTCCACCTGAAATTCCCATACTAGAAATGTCTGGGTTTTGGGTTCCTGTACTACTACTCAATGGCAAGAGTATATACATATATATATATATATATATATATATATATGCATACATATCTTTCAAAATCCAAATTCCTCTTTCACACCCTGCTCCCCCAGCAGTATACTCTCCAGTTTGTGTTCTAATACCACAATTTGCCAGTAATTTTAGATATTTGTGCTCTACCGTGAGTTAATGTAAAGGAGCTGTGGTGGTGTAGTGGGTAAGGCATTTGGCTGCTAACGAGAATGTCAGTAGTTCAAACCCACCTGCTGTTCCACAGGAGAAAGATAAAGCAATCAACTTCCATAAAAATTTATAGCTTTGGAACCCAATGGGGGAATTGATTTGATGGGTTTGATTTTGGTAAGTTATTGTAGGGTAGGAAAGGACTATGTCCTTTTCATTTTCCTGTTGCCCACCGTTCCTTGCACACTGAAGGTACTCAATAAATGTCTATAGAATTGAATACAACAGATACAATGGTTAAGAAAAATAAAAGTTGGCATTAGGCTTGAAAAAAGAGAAGTATTTAAAAATGGATCGTAAGGGAGAATCCTATAGACCCACACTGTCCAATAAAAATAAAATTTGAGCCACAAACTTAATTTAAATGTTGTAGTAGCCACATTGCTGCTCCTGTGTGGTGCAAATGGTTAAAGCTCTCGATTGCTAACCTTATTTCCTTGGTTTCCTCAACTAAAAAGAGAAGATAAACTTTTCTTTCACATCAGACAGGGTTATAATAAGGGTAAAATTAGAAACTGAAATGAGGACACTTTGTAAAGTTGAAAATGTCATACATATAAGAGAGGCATTATAATTATTCCAAGTAAGGTGAACGCTGATGACACTAGCTCCTGTTCTTAGCACACCTATGATTTTTATTAACAGTTGCAGATCTTTTCCAGAGGCCAAAATACTACATGTTGCAATTGCAATGTTCCAGAGGAGATATGATTATCATATTAGCTGACCCAATCAACCTGACTTGCTTTAAAATGGTTATTAATCTCTTCTTTAAAGAATCTGGATGCCAGAGTGTCATATACTCCCCCATATGTCACCGATCTGAGGGCAATAAAGCAGGGTTATGGGAGGATGCTGCTATTCTCATTAAATATCTCCATTGGAATAGCTAGGTATGATGAAGGTAGGTTGTTAAGAGCTCGAAACACATTTTGGGGGTTAGTATTCAGGTTAACTATATCATTGTGTGTAATACAGAGGGAAAGGAAGATGCAGGGCATCAATCAAGTATTTTAAAATGTCAAAATCCCTATTGTTTTTGTTAGCTGCTATAGAATTGGCTCCGACGCATGGGAACCCCATGCACAATGGAGCACAACGCTGCCCAGGCCTGCAGCACCCCCAAGATGGGTTGGCAACGAGACCATTGTGATTCATAGGGTTTTCATTGGCTAATTTTTGGAAGGAGATTCCCAGGCCTTTCTTCCTAGTCCATCTTAGCCTGGAAGCACTGCTGAAACCCTGCACAGCATGATAGCAACAGGCAAGCCTCTGACAAACAGCTGGTGGCTGCTCTTGGGGTGCATTGGCAGGTAATCAAAACAAGTCTCCTGGCATGGAAGGCAAGAATTCTACCATTGAACCACTAATTGAACCACCACTGCTCTATTTGAAATCAATCACTGAGAAATGATACAGGGATAATCCCAAACCAAACCAAACTCACTGCCCTCCAGTCCATTCTGACTCACAGTGACCCCTCCTTGGGTTTCCCAGGCGGTATGTCTACGGAAGTAGATTGCCCAGTCTTCCTTCTGAGGAGTGGCTGGTGGGTTTGAACCGCCAGCCTTTGGTTAGCAGTTAAATGCCATAGGCACTGCGCCACTAGCGCTCCAACAGAGATAATAGAGCCGGCCTTTTGCTGTTTGCGGGGTTCCTGCCTACCACTGAGGTGATTTTGTGTCACAAGGAGAGATAGAAACACGTTTTCCAACGCTATGTTCTTTCTCCAAATGGCTGTGGGATAGGCATTTATTATTAACATTTTAAATGTTCTTTCAAGGAGATTCTCAGCAGTTCTGCAAGCGTCTCTTCCCCAAACACCTCAGTTGTTGTTACTCATCTCTTACCACTCTCATTTCCCTAAGAAATGGTACAGAAAAGTATTTAAATTACTAGTTCAGTTTTAAATATGGAATGAGGCAGAAAAAGAGCGTTTTCTTTCTCGTTCATTGTGATTTGTCTGTCAACCTAAGATCGGAAAGCAGCCTGTTAGAACTTTGCTCAGTCTAAGACAACTTCCCCTTCCCTCCCCATGGCGAGGGAAGGTTCTTGACATCCTACTCCCAGCCTACGGTAGTTGCGCGGGCCCGGGCCCTTTCTTAACAACAGTTGCTAAGGGGCGGAGACTTCGTATCAGTTTCCGGTACTACTCCCACCCCAGACTCAAGGCCGAGTGCTTCGAGCGCTTGCGGCAACCTTATCTTACTTCTCGCGAGGTTTCGTCTTCCAGGAAACGGTGGAAGACGTTCCCTGTTGGCGGCGTTACGATGTGTGGGGACTGTGTGGAGAAAGAATATCCCAACCGGGTGAGCGACGGGAATCGAAAACTTTCCGCTCCTTCGGCCCATGGCTGGCTCCTGAGGCTTCTTGTACCGCCAGTCTTCCCTGAAAGGCGGGCGCGGGGCGAACTCAGCTGCACTGCTCAGGCCAGTGACCCGGTAGCTTTCGTTAGGCCTTTGACACTAAAGACGGCCTGTGGCCGTCTCCTCCGTTCGTCCTCGCCCTGGTGACTGATTTCAGTTGGCACTCCTTTTAAGCCCCAGGGCACAACAGAGGGACACCCACCCACCCAGGCCTCATTCTCGAACTCGGTTTGATGAAGTTCAATTTTCTTACCTCTGAGATGATCTGTTCTAATTTTGTGGATGAAGAAACTGAATCTCAAAGGAGGAAAAATGACTTGCTTAAATTCATATTCTAGTTACTATGAAAGCCAGGACGAGAATGCAGGTTTCCAGCTGAATTACACCTAGCAGTACAACGTTTAGCTTTTCTTTTTTTTTTTTTTTTTAATTGCTTTTAGACTCACGAGGTTGCAAAGTTTGCTTGTCTGTCTCACTCGGTGTATACTACCGGGCACTTACGTGTGTGTGGCTGGATTTCTTTGCTAGGCCAGAAACAGGACACCAAAGGAGAAAAAAGGCGGGCAGTATCCACCCTACCCTAAGAGCTTCCAGTTTGAGGAAAGTTTGTGATGAACAAAAAAAGTGGTGCTGTTGCTGTGTTGTTGTTACGTGCCCTCGAGTCGGACCCAACTCTTAGCGACCCCTCCTTGGGTTGCCGAGGCAGTATCACTACGGAAGTAGACTGCCCAGCTTCCTTCCGAGGAATGGTACAGCCCATAAATACTCTTCAGGTTTAGAGAAAGGGGAGAGCGATAGAGGTAGCGCTGCTGTCCACCTAACGGGAGGTGGACTTCGACTGAGACTGGAAGAATAGTTGTGATTAGAAGAGAGGGAAAAGATGTGCCAACTTGCGCCCCCCCAGAAAAGAACACTGCCCCAAGTGCATTCTGATGTATAACAACCTTATAGGACAGAGTAGAACTGCCCCATAGGGTTTCCAAGACTATAAATCTTTACAGAAGCAGACTGCTACACTTTCTCCCACATAACCGAAGCCCCGACCTTTTTGTTAGCAGCAGAGCGCTTTAGCCACTGTGCCACTAGAACTTCAAAGATGTGGCAAGGCTGTGGAAAATAAGAACAAGGATTCTCGCATTGGTTGGGAGGTAGAAAATCGCTAGTTGCCTCTGTATTTTAAGTTTTAGTGAGTAATACTGTGTCTTTGGGGAAGGATAGGAACTCATTCATATGGTACAACAACTTTGGAAAAACGTTTAGCGTTATCAAATGAAAGATGTCCATACCAAATGATCCAGCATTTCCCCTTTTAGAGAAATGAATGGGTACTTGTATAAGTGTTCAAAAGTAGTAGTAGACTGGAAAAGCAACGGCACATTCATACAGTGGGGCACTGAATGAGTGAGCAATGAAAGCGAATTAGAGCATGGCTCTAACTGGGGGTGATTTTGCCTTCTGGGGACATTTAGCAATGTCTGGAGACATGTTTGGGAGCTCTGGTAGTATATTGCCTAGGATGCTTGACTGCTAACCAGAAGGCTGGTGGTTCAAACCCACCAGCCATTCCTCAGAAGGAAGGTTGGGCAATCTTCCGTAGTGATAACTGCCTTGGAAATCCAAGGAAGAGTCACTATGAATTGAGTCCGACTCCTTGGCAAATAACAGCAACAAC